AAAAAAAAAAAAAAAAAAAAAAAAAAAAAAAAAAAAAAACACAAAAAAGTTAAATGATTTCTGGTAAACTTCACTTTTCAAAAAATGAAGAAAAAGGGGTTGGGCACAGTAGCACAGTCAGTGACTGAGGAAGGACACTCTGAAATCAAGGACAAAAGAGTCTACATAGCAACAAACACTCAAGAAACTGTCAGCTTATTAGGGTGCTTGAAGTCAAGGCTGATGACCTGAGTTCCATCCTCAGAGACCACATGGGTAGAAAGAAACAACTCTCCCAAACTGTCCTCTGCCCTTAGCATGTGCTCCATGGCACTCATACACATACAAGCACACAGACACACACACAATAAATAAAGGGCTCCAAAAAACCAATCTTATAGATATTTAAAAGCATGTATCAGTGAGGAGGGGAGGGGAGGTGTCATAAAAACATGAACTTTGTGTGAACAGCTCTAGCTATCAGTAAAAGCTTCAATAAAATTGTATGGAAAAAGCAAAGAAATAAATACATAAAACATCCATCCTCTGCTGTGTGAGGAAAGACTGTTGATTGCTTTAAGTGTAGCTTGGATCAACTGCTTTTGTTTCATTGAGTTTAGTTTTAGATTATTTCAGTTTTGAGATAAAGTCTCACATAGCCCTAGGCTGGTCATGAACTCACTTTGTAGATGATTTAGACTTCTGATTCTCCTGCCTCCACCTCCCAAGTACTGGGATTACAGACACTTACTCTATGCCAGGTTTATGCAGTGCTGGGGAACAAACCTAGTGTCTCATGGTTACTGAGTGAGCATCTACCGAATGAGCCAAATCCACAACCTTCAATATCATTTGTTTTCTTTATTTTAATTTTTTCATTAATATGCATGATAGAGTAGAAAGCACTGGAGAAAGACACCCGCTGGCTTCCACACTCATGTGCACATATATATGCACTTGTATGTACAGTGTACACACATACATATACTTACTACACACAGAAAAAGGAATCAGGCTGGTGAAATGGCTTGGAGATTAAAGATAACTGTTGCACAAGCCTGGTGACCCACTTCATATCTGGAACCCAAGTGAAGGTGGGAAAGAACTAACTGCACAAAGTTGTCATCTGACCTCACATATACACCACAGCATATGCTCTGGTCCTCTTCCTGACACCATTCATGCAACTATTTTTCATTATATACTTTAAGGAAAAATTAAAGATGGGACAGTAATTACTTTCCTGTGAAGCCATGAATCTACAAGTTCAAGTAATATAGAATATAAATAATTTAAATTCAGCAATGATAAATTATGTTATATATAAAAATTAACTTAAAAATAAATTATTATGCAAGAGTTTTAAAGAAGTTATAAGTATGATTAATAGGAACTCAATTTAACCTACTTTAAAGAATTTACCAAGGTCATATCAAGTGGGTATTTAATAGATTTGGGGATATTTTATTATTTTTACTTACTATTACCCAGAAGTTTTATTCAGATAATTTATACTGGGTGAAATAGTTTAGAGTTACAGAAAAAAGCCCACCACTTCATTTACAATAAAATACATATCCCCCCACTCCATCCCATTCCATTCGCCATGGGGATCGATATCAACAGTCTGGTAACGTATATGCTTCACCTATACTTATATCAAACAGGTAAATGTCACCCATACACATAACCAATGGATATACTGATGCTCTTGCTTATTTCCTTTTGTTTGCTTAGTTTTTACAAAATGAAAGAGTATAATTCCTCTTGACTTTCTTCCACCGATTAAGTCATGTTAAACACAACCCAATCAGATATCATTCACTCTTCACAAGAGCTGTGACATATGCATGGGACTCATCCAAGTTTCCCATTAGTTACTGAAGACAGTGTCACACTACTTCTGTAAGCAATGCTACAAAGTTTTTTGTTTGTCCAGACATGGTTTCTCCGTGTAACCCTGGCTGTCCTGGAACTCACTCTGTAGACAAGGCTGGCCTCGAACTCACAGAGATCCGCCTGCCTCTGCCTCCCAAGTATAGGGATTAAAGGCTTGCACTACCACCGCCCAGCCTCCACTCATATTCCTTCTGTCACTCACATCCTATAATGGCATTTCTGTCACTACCATTTCAAGAAAATAAATAATTTTTCCTATAGGTCATAACACATTCAAAAATACATTCTAGGGGCTGAAGAGATGATTCAGCAGTTAAGAACACTTACAGAGGACCAAAGTTCAGTTCCCAGCAGCTGGGGAATCCAGCTTCCTCTTCTGAACTCTGTGGTCACCTGCCCTTGAGTGTAAACAAAACCAGATATAGAAACACTATCTATAGGTAATTTAAAAAAAATTAAATCTTTAAAAATATGTATTCAGTGGTGCATGCCTTTAATCCCAGTACTTGGAAGGCAGAGGCAGGTGGATCTCTGTGTATTCAAGACCAGACTGGTCTACAAAGTGAGTTCCAGGACAGACAGACAAGCCACACAGAGAAATCCTGTCTGGAAAAACCCATAAATAAATAAATAAATAAATAAATAAATCTTTTATCTGGCTCAATGATAAAAGCATTTATTAAAAAAAAAAAAAAAAACACTCTCAGACCCAAAGGGGCAGGGGAGGGGGAATATCTGTGGGGTTGGGACCATGTGAGTTTGAGGCCAGCCTGGTCTCCAGAGCGAGTGCCAGGATAGGCTCCAAAGCTACACAGAGAAACCCTGTCTTGAAAAACCAAAAAACAAAAACAAAAACAAAACAAAAAACAAAAACAAAAAAAAACCCAAAAAACAAAAACAAACAAATAAATAAATAAAAATTAAAAAAAAAAAAACAATTTGAATTCAATCCCCAGATCCCATGATGGAGAGAACCAACTCCAGAAAGCTGTTCTTCTGACCTCCACACATACTCACACTTACCGCGCGCACACACACACACACACACACATACACACACACACACACACACACACAAATAATACATTAAGTTAAAAAATAAATGTCTTTTCTTATTTTTTAATCAGGAACATGACCTACCATGAGAACTAACATCAGTTCTTCAATGATGTTTTTGGAGGTTTGAGTTTCACTACAAAACCCTGACTGTCCTGGAACTCACTAAGTAGACCAAGCTGGCCTTAAACTTGGAACAATCTTCCCGCCTCTACCTACCAAGTGATGGGATAATATTCATTTGGTACTGTGCCTGGCTGATTCACAAAGTCTAAAAGAAAGAAGTATGATCAGAGAGGAATAATGCTATCACAGTAGATAGTAATACAGTGTCTATGGTCCACACAGTGTAATAAAAAGTACCGAGGCTGAGGCAGGAACATCCTGTGAGCTAAGAACAGTCTATACACCATAGCAATGCCCTCCCTAAGACACCAAGAACTACAATGAACATGCAAATACTGATCTCACAGAGGATACAACCAAGCGCAAGCATCTTTTATATACTGCTATAAGCACTAATGAAAGCTATGACTATCTCTATACTCATGAAAGCAAAGCTAATCAAACTTAGCACATCACCAACAAAACAAAAACAAAGGAAAAATACAAAGTAGAGCCGGGCGTTGTGGCACACGCCTTTAATCCCAGCACTCAGGAGGCAGAGGCAGGAGGATCTCTGTGAATTAGAGGCCAGCCTGGTCTCCAGAGCGAGTGCCAGGATAGGCTCCAATGCTACACAGAGAAACCCTGTCTCGAAAAACCAATAATAATAATAATGATAATAATAATAATAATAATAATAATATATTATATGCTCATATAAAGTTGTCAAAATATCATTTTTAGAATTTCAAGAATTTAATTTTTCAAAGCTATTTAAGACAGAAATTCTAATGGGTCAGTTCAGACCTGTGTCTATTCACCATGTATCTCCCATGCAGTAGCATGTTTACTGTGGGTGGTCTGATGAAATACACAGCTGTGTCAGACACATGTCAAGGCAGCAATAGATATGGTGAAGGAAGAAGGAGCCAACTCACCTAAGTGAGGGAACAGGTCCGCGTCCAGCTGATGCTTTTGGGTACACAGTTTCACCAGTCTCTGCAGTCGGCTTATACAGGAGAAGTGTGGAGAGAAGGCGGTGGCTTTCATGAGGACTCGGTCAGTCCTAGGGGCGTCTGAGATGGGAGCCCGACTGGATGGAAGGAGGGGCAGAGGCCTCTTGTGAGGGGCCTGCCTTGTTTGTGCTATAGAGTGTGTGGTGGGGGCCACTCCCTGCATTGGTAGGCTGGTGTTCTGAGGTTGAGGTGACTTGCAGACTGAACCCTGCAGTGGCGCTGGAGGTTTTAAAGAAGTGGATAGAGGTGACAGGTGGGCGTGCTGCTGTGGAGGCGTGGGAGGGGTACTAAAGTGCTCTTGCCGTACTTTTAAAATCTCTGTCTCTCTCTGGCGCTGCCGGTTCTGAGCCAACTTGCTCTGCAACTTCTTTCTCACGGTTGCCCCTTTCTTTAGGTCATCATCTTCCTCGTTGAAAGCAAAGGGGTCTTCCAACTCAGTTTCCAGGTAGTGGAGAGGGACCCTTGCCCCAGGTGGAGAGAGGGACATGCTATCCAGTCCATTGGGCATCTTCAAGGCCAGCGTGGGCACCGTCAGGCTAAACGCCACGGCATCCATCTGGTGCCTGCCCTTCACCTCATCTACCGGATCATTCTTTTTCTTCCTCTCTTTTTTCGGGATAAAGCCGAGTACCTGCAGGTGGCTGTTGCAGTACCTGCAGCAGTGCACAGGTGTGAGAGAATACTCTTCATACACACATACAAATGCACACACTATAAAACTGGACTCCTAACACTCTACACATCAGATGGCCAGCGCCAGGTGTTGTAGCACAGGCCTGTAATCCTAGCACTTGAAAGGTGCAAGAGGATCAGGAGTTCAAAGCCAGCATGTAGACCCTATCTTTAGAAACCACAACAAAAATAGTTGTATAGCCAGCAAAGTGGTGGTGGTGCAAGCTTTTAATCCAAGCACCCCAGAGGCGGAGGCGGGTGAATCTCTGAGTTTAAGGCCAGTCTCGTCAACAGAGTGAGTTCCAGGACAGCCAGGGCTACACACAGAAGAAACCCTGTCTCAAAAAACAAACAAGACAAAAAAAGTTACAGCTGGAAATACGGTAGCACAAGCCTGTAATGCTAACACTTAGGAGAGTTAGGCAGGAGGACCATAAGTTCAAAATTAGCCTGGGCTGCACAGCAAGATGCTAACTCAAAAAACAAAATGAAAAGGGAGTTGTTATTCCTCTCACACTATTCCCAACTGAGGTCTACATAGTTTTGATAAGGCACATCTGTGATCTGTTCAAGTGTGGAGGTCACCAGACAAAAGCAGGTCTGTCCACTGGTAAGCAGCCTGGTCAGCAACTTGGCTACTGTTTCTCACACAGCTTTGTTCTTCTCTATTCACAGCATACAAAGTAACTCATCAAAAGTCTGAAGATCATTTAAAAGTCTCTTATGGAAAAAAGCATTATATTCTAATGCTATTTAAGTTCCTGGAGAGTCACCAAGGTCATGTAACATAACCCTGACATGTGCCACACCCATAGACACCAAGCATACACACACCCCACACTCACACTTATAAACACACACACCTCAAGCACACCCACATCACACATAGGCCCCACACACACCACATACATACCCACACCACACACACACAAGAGGGTGGGGACTAAGAGTGGTTAGTGGAATGAGCATCTCAGAAGGCAGAGATGTAAGATCACAGACTGTCTCCTGTAGCACTAGCTGAAGTAGGCACTAAAATAATGCCCTTGATTCAGATAACTCCACTACATTTACAAAAATGAATGTGTCCAAAACCCCTTCCAGAGCAGAAACTGGCCAAGCTGGGGTATGAACTATAGTCAATGCTCATTATGACTTCAGTAATGGGCAGGCTACCTTTGTAACTTACACACCCAGAGCATACAGTCCCTGTACATAATGAGAAAATAAAGACCTGTTATACCAACTAACCACACTGAAAACCTGTCAGGGGTCTGTGAACAGAATACTCTCCAATCCATATTCTTCACACACTTCCCACAGCACGTTAACAAGTGCCATCAAAATAGCACCCCACACTTAAGTCAATTTGGAAAATTATGGCTTAACCAAAATGACATAATAATTTTGTTGATTGTTTCTGCTGGAAACTTTCTCAAAGAATTATGTATAATAATGTGTATTATGAAGTTCCAAGAAGGAGATGTACCCTTTTTGAATCTGTCAGTGCCTTCCAAAGCTATCTGAAGGAGGAACCCATTACTGAAGCAAGCAAGTGACATCTCCACACAGTACTGAGCAGACCCCACATATATCCCACACAAAACAGAGTTCTAAGACAGGGCAGTGAGGAAAGTGTTGTTAGGAAGGACTGGTAAGTAAGAAGTTAAAAAGAAGAATAAACAGGACTGGGTATGTTGTACCAGCCTTTAATCCCAGCACTTGAGAGGCAGAGAGAGGCAAGAGGACCAGGAGTTCAGCCACCTTCCACTATACAGGCAGTTCAAGCCCCAATCTGGGAGCCTTAAAACACTGGATCAAAACACAACAATCAAAGAAGAAAGAATAGTAGTCACACTCATAATTCCAGCTACTCAGAATACCAAGACAGGAGAATGACAAGTTTGAGGCCAGCCTGGGCTACATAGCAAGAATTTTATCTCAAAATAAAACAGAGCTAAGAGGAACCAGAGAAATGGCTCAGCGGTTAAGAGCACTGGCTGTTCTTCCAGAGGACCCAAGTTCAATTCCCAACACCCACATGACAGCTCACAACTATCTGTAACTCCAGTTCCAAGGTACCAACACCCTCATGCAGGCAAAACACCAAAGCATATTGTTTTTAAAGGGGGTTTGGGGTGGATAGCTCACTGATAAAGCAAGGGCCTAGGCTCAATATCCAGTATAAAAGAAACAAAACAAATGGTTTTCAACATTTCATGAAAAGATTAGTTTCACCAAAGAATGGTAAGGTAAGATTTTATATTTTAAATTAGAAGTCAGGGCTAAACCTGTAGTGGTAGCCCACGCCTTTAATTCCAGCACTTGAGAGTCAGAGGCAGGGAGATCTCTGTGAATTCAAGGCCAGACTGGTCTACAGAGGGAGTTCCAGGACACAGAGAAACCCTGTTCTCAAAAAAAAAAAAAACAAAAAACAAAAAAAAATCAAAAAAGTCATGGCTAGAGAGGTGGCTAGGCGGTTAAGAGTGTTTGCTACCCAATCATGAGCAGGGTCTGGATCCAAACACCAGTGCTGGGCTCACAAAAACCTACCTAATCAATCAACCAACAACTCCCCTCAGGCAAAGTAGCAAATTTGTATTTGTATATTTATTTTAAATGCTGTGCAGAAGAACTAAGTAAACATTCTAGTTCAGTTAGTCAGAAAAATAGTAGTAGTAAACTGAGCATTGGTGGCGCATGCCTTTAATCCCAGCACTCGGGAGGCAGAGGCAGGCGGGTCTCTGTGAGTTTGCGGCCAGCCTGGTCTACAGAGTGAGTTCCAGGACAACCTCCAAATCAATACAGAGAAACCCTGTCTCGAAAAACCAGAGAGAGAGAGAGAGAGAGAGAGAGAGAGAGCGCTCAAACCAGGGGTGGTGGCCCACGCCTTCAATCCCAGAACTCGGGAGGCAGAGGTAGGTAGATCTCTGAGTTGAAGGCTAGCCTGCTCTACAGAGCTAGTTCCAGGACAACCAGAGCTACACAGAGAAACCAAAAAATCAAAAGAAAGGGAGGGCTGTCTTCTGACCTTACTAATAAGATAGTACTTGCTTTGACACAATTGAAAAAACAGGCAAGTGCCATGTGCCATAACCTAAACTGAGCCCACTAAGCGATGCATTTACAGCCTGAGGGAGCCAAGCAGAGAGGTTTTGTTAGAAGCAAGGATAAGAGATTCCCCTCAGTCGCCAAGAACCAGGCACATGGTGTTTAATATGGAGGCTAGGGAGGTCAGCACTTTCTTCCTTGCTGCACTAAACACCTGTTTCTGACTCTCACTCTGTAATCTGAGCCACACATGTTCATCAGAAGTTCTAAGAGAACCCCCAATCACCTCTAATGTGATCACTCTGGTGGGCTCCCTACCTACAGAATTGTTTATTTCACACTGAAAATAAAAATGTGCTCTTTTGGCCAGTTTATGCAGGTTGACATTTGCTTACTTTAAAGAACAAGAACAACAAACACAGAGGGAGGGTGGGTTAAAATAGAAGAGGTTCAAATTTTCTACCCTAACATAGTATCTAAAGCTGTGTTCCAGAATGATCGCTGTGACCTGGGGAATGGAAAGAAGTTTGAAGGACTATAAGTCAAAGTATTTTTCCTAACAATGTAAAAGATAACCAATTATAATCCATTTCTTTAAATGCCAGATAGCTGGGCGTTGGTGGTGCACACCTTTGATCCCAGCACTCGGTAGGCAGAGGCAGGTGGATTTCTCGGTGAGTCTGAGGCCAGCCTGGTCTACCTAGTGACAAAAGTGTGCCATTAAGGTGAAGACACAACTGGCAAGGATAATGGAACAGGGTGGGGCATCTAGCCAAGTCTCATAGAACCGAAGGTTCCTGTAGCAGCAAAGGGAACTTTGAGAGTTCCAGGTTGTCTGTGTCCCTCCTGGCCTGACTTTACTCAACTGTGGCCTTCTCCTAAAGAGCCAGCCTGACTGTGGTGATATTTTGTGTATGATAGAACAAATAAAGCTTGCCTGAAGATCAGAGTGCAAAGCCAGCCACACTAGTCAGCCACAGAGGCCAGGCAGTGGTGGTGAATGCCTTTAATACTAGCACTAGAGAGGAATATAAGATGGGAAGAGACAGGATTGTGTCACACTGCGGACACAATCGTCCCTTGGTGGAGGTGAGAACTCTTTAGTGGCTGGCTGCTTTGCTTTTCTGATCTTCAGCTTGAACCCCAATATTTGTCTCTGCATTTTTATTATTCATGCTACATTTGGCTGCTTCCAAGCATGCCCTTCCCATTGTGGCAGATGCCAGTGCCCATGCCCAGCCTATTCTGACCTCCGAGGCACTCCTGTAACTTGAAGGGGGTCTCCTGCTTCCAGGTGGATCCTCCCTTTCAGGGTGACTCCAGCACCACCACCTCGGCTAGATTTTCATCATTATTCTGTAATAATGGTCTCGGGAAGGGTATCCTGAAGCCAAATCCCTTCCTCCTAGCCTAGTGCTGCTTGTAATCATGGGGAGCTCTCCATTGCTAAAGCATAGGTAGGGACAAGGAGAACAAAAAGACCTGGGAATCTGACCTCCACCAAGGTGGAAAATAGTTCATGTGCTAAGACACAAAGCAAACCAACCAAGATCCTTAAGGGAAGGTGTGATGCCCTTAATTGGCCCTGCTCAGACTCTGGCCTTGACACACCCTGCTCCGGCAATTCTGATGAGAGTGTGGTGAGGACAGAGACCACAGCTGTCCCAGTCCCTGCTGGCCAGGCCTGACCCATCACAGAGTCTAATGGGCTGGTCACTCCTCCCTCAGGCTGTAGAACTGCTCATTGATGCTTTTAAAGTCTTTCTTGAACCCTAGGCTTAGCTCTGTGTGGTCAGTATCTGGGCCTATGCCAAGAAGGATCCACATATTGTATGTGATGACTTGTGTGGTACATCAGCCTTAGACAGGAGACCCACAAAGACCATCTCTATGACTAGCGCCTGAAGAACAGGAATGGCTATACCAAGAAGAGATGGCAGAGGGGTGCCACGGACACCTGTAGCTGTGGAGCCCTTTGCAAAGGCACCGAGTACTTAATTTCCAGTGTAAGCAACCACCTAGAAGAAATATTTGCCATGGTGGACAGTGCCAGCCTAAAAATGAGACTTCCCTCTTTGTCTCCAGACCACACTCTCCAGTGACTAAATGACTTCCAAGCTTCCAAAGTGTCTTTTTCTCTGACACTCTGTAACAATATTCTGGGACCTGTAAAATAATGATTAGCTTTTTTCTGATTCTAAAAATGTGGTTAAATGAAATTTGAAAATGCTAGAAAAATATAAAGAGGATACCTAAAGTATTTTTTGAAAGGGAAAATATAATTTTGCAAACATAATGCATGTGAGACTCTTTTTAACCATAAAAGGCCACATTAGAAAACTGTCAATCATGGCTTAGATATCTGTTATGGAACAAATCTAATGAAGGTTCCATTATTTTAAATTTTTTTCTAACAAATACATCTTCCAACTAATACTATTACATTTCATGCAGGCATTTTTTTTCTAAACCCAAATTAATACTGATGGTGGTAGCACTCAGCTAGTTCCTGCCCTGTGGCAGCCACTGGGCAGAGGCCAACAGTTCCTTTGTTGGCCACACACCAAACACAGCAGCACTACAAGGGTTAACAGCAGTTTTTTTTTGTTTGTTTGTTTGGTTTTTGTTTTTGTTTGGGGGGGCGTGTCTTAAATGTCTAGAAGTCCATGAAATCAATAAAAGAAAACACCCAAACATACTTTAAAATGCCCTAAAATGTACCATCCCATTTAAAAGAAACTGTTCTTTCTTATCCCCAGAAGTACTCCAACGTTTCCTTAAACAGCCCCAGGACTCAACATTGAAATTTAACACACTGAAAAGAAACAGTATCAGAGAGACAAAATTCCAAAACTGCTAATGACCCATGCATGACCCCAAGATGGCTCTTACCTACGATCCTCTGATTTGGGAATGGGGTTGGTGCAGCGCTGGCTGTTATACTTGGCCACATATTCACATTGCTTGAAGGGGGCAGTCTTGTCTTCCAGAACGTGTCTGATACAGAAAGCGTAGCCGTTGAGTCGCCGCTGCTTGCACAGTTTGGGGCTATATGAGCACAAGGGCTTATTGTCAACCTCAGAGAAGTGTATATGTTTCCCTTCATACATCACGTGACTCTATTCCTTGTGAACATCAGCTAAAAGGCCACCACAAAAAAGAAACCCAAATGATAAACAAATCAGAGAGTGTAAGGCAGGCTCAAGTAGAGAATTTCACTGAGGAACTTGTGCCTCTCAGCCATACCTGATTTTAAATCTTCTGCACCACAGCAAAGTGAAGAGAGCCCAGGGGGACCACAGTTTGGAATGCTCTCAATCAAGAGGAAGCAGATTGTCTACAAAACATCAAAGGCCTCGTTAACACAGAGATGAACAAAGCGAACTCACCCAGAACATACAATATTTCCATGTCACCCTTCCTAATGTGATGGTATGACTAGAATCTAATATTCTAAGGATGAGCTCCAACAGGAAAACGAGAGTTTTAAGGATTATCTCACCCTCCAAAATTGAACCAAGTCATATTACTCTTTGAATATATCAAACTGGCTTCTATCAAGTTAACTCCTAGAACTTGGGAGGTGGCAGAAGAAAAACCAGGTGTTCCAGGTCATTCTCAGCTACACAATAAGTTTGAGTCAACCTGAGCCACATAAGTCTCAAAAGTGAGGGGGGTGGGAAATGGGGGGCTGGAGAAATGGCTCAACAGTTAAGAGCACTGGCTGCTTTTCCAAAGAACTTGGGTTCGATTCCCAGTACCCACAGGATGACTCACAATCATCTGTAACTCCAGCCCCAGGGCCTCCACTAGGCATTCATGTGGTATACAGACATACATGCAATCAAATAAATACAAAATTTCAAAAATAGTTTCTTTACAAAATACTACATCTTTTTGTTACATTGACAAAATATTTAGCAGTTTGTTAAAAATTTTACTCTGAAATACAAAACAGAGCTGTTTCTGGTATCACACACCTATAGTCCCAGCATTTGGGAAAGTGAAGCAGGAGGGTTACTTAGTTCAAGGCCAGTCTGTTCTATACAGAAAGCTCTAGACATACCATCCAGGGATATACAGGAAGAGTGTGTTTCAAAGAAACAAACTAGCTCCAGGTAAAGGATGCTTTCTGCCAAGCTTGATGACCTGAGTTCAGTCCTCCAGATCAACACAGTGAAAGGGAAAAACCCATGCCTGCAAGTTGTCTTCTAATCTCCATACTTGTCCACGGCATGTATGCGTACAGAAGCACACACACACGCGCGCGCCCACACTAAAGAAATGATCGAAATAAAAAAGAAGAGGCTGGGAGGTGGGGCAGGTGGCAAAGGCACCTGCTGCACAAGCCAGGTTACCTAAGTGAGATATCCAGAACCCATAAGATACCAGGTGAGTGTGACAAACCACCTGTAATCCCTACAGTTGGAGGGCAAACAGGAGATCCTGGGCAAACTGGCTAGTGAGACTAGAGTGTTGGTAAACTCTAGGTCCAACTGAGAGAGCCTGCCTCAGTATGTAAGATGGAGATCAACCGAGGAAGACACCTGACATCAACCTTACACACACACACACACCACATGCCTAAAAGAAAACATTTAATTAAAATATACACATACATACATACACATACATAAATTAGAACAAATTCTGCTTTTACAAGATATTATTTGGGGCTGGCAAGGTGACTCAGTGGACAAAGGCATCTGCTACCAAGCCTGCCACAAGCCTGCCACAAGCCTGAGTTCAGTCCCAAGGACCCACATGGTGGGAGGGGAGAACCAGTTCCTGAAAGTGATCCCCTGACCTCTACACACCCACCACGGGACTCCTGTATGAACACACACATAAATACATGTTTAAAAAATGTAACACTACTTCCTTTCTAATATTCTGTCTGCCACACCTGTCCCATCCAAACCTGAACTTCTTGAGATCAAGTATTAGTTACTTAACCACATTTACACCATTCAGTGCTCCCAATGATCAATTACAAGTACTAATCATGGTTTGGATCTTTTGATCCAAGATTCCCTAAGAAAACGAAGAGAGAAATTACATGGTGTCTGCTACACAAGTACATACAAAGACCAAATGCAGCACTTACATAACACTATATAGTCTATAACAACCAACTGAACCTAGTTTATGAGTTCAGAGTCTTAGTGAGCTGCCCAGACCTTAACTCCTTCCCAAAGTCACCCAGATGGTGGATGACACAGCTTAGACATCCGTTTTTGAAAAAGTCAAGAAATACCCTTCCTTTAAGAACTTGAATATGGGGGCATAGCAGTACACCCCTTTAATCTTATTAGCACTCCAGACAGAGGCAGGAGGATCTCAAGGACAGTCCGGTCCACAGAGGGAGTTCCAGGAGAGCCAAGGTACACAAAGAAACCCTGTCTCAAAACTGAATATGGGGCTGCAGACTCAGGTGGTAGATTGCTGGCTGAGTCCTGGGTTAGTCCCCAGCACTGCATAAAAACAAGCATGGTGAGATACGCAAACCCCAGGCCAAGTCTCAGCTGTCTGAAGGACACAGGAAGGATCAGAAGTTCAAGGTTATAAGAGCCTGTCTCAAAAGAAAAAGAAACAAACAGGTTCCAACGCTGCCAGAGTAGTGCAGTGGTCTTAAAACAAAGGCCCGGCATGTGCAAGGCCAGGGTTTAATCCCCAGCACAAAAGCTCAGCAAGTGCAAGGCCAGGGTTTAATCCCCAGCACCTGAAAACAAGGTGGAAGAAGACACAACAGAGCTAGGGTGGGACACACTAATGACACACTAACTACACAGATGTCTATGGCAGAAGAAACGCTTGGAATCTCAGATACCTCATCTGCCAAACAAGGATAACAGTAGTTATATCATCACTAGGTTCTAAGGATCAAGGGCACCACATGGACTGAAGTAAGAACCATGGCTGACTGTGGTAAGCTCTGCAGACACAGAAGTTATTCACAGATGTTAGCTGTATGGCAATGTTACTGTCTTTTCCCCTGCCAGCACTAACAAGAGATGGTATATGCTTCTGGAGAAGAACATTCGCCACACAGAAGAAGCAAATGCAGATTATAAAGCCCTGTACAGTCTACAACAATGAAATGAATGATTTTGCAGAGTCAGGGTCTCAGACTTTACAAAGACAAACCCAAAGTATTAGTGTAGTTAATAAAATTATATGCACTAATAAACTTATCCACACACCAATGCACAGAAAAAAATAAGAGCTTTTTTCTTTTTAGCTTATTAAGGCAAAAGGAAGAAGAATTGCACTAAAATGTGTTTAGTTGGCCCTAGCATGAGGATGCAGCCCAGGTAGAAGAATGACTGCCCAGGAAAAAGGCTGTGCAGTCAATCCCTAGCAGAGTGAAAGAAAGAGAAAAAGAGTGGGGAGGAGGAAGTCAGTCAATCAGTTCAGGGGCTGGCATAAACCAGATGTGCTGCTGGTCCACACCTGTAATCCCAGCACTCAGGAGGCAGAGGCAGAATGATCAGAAGTTCAATGTCACCCTTAGCTAGTTATAGGCTAGCCTGGCCTACAGGAGACACTGACTCAAAATAAACAAACAAAAATTTTACTTGTCCTAAAGGATGGGTACTTAAGCCAGGACATACATGAAAACAAATCTATGAATGCTTTGAAAATTTCCACTCTGTGCCACTCATCCATCACTGACTTGGTTATGAAATTAATTCAAGTCTTAAAGTTGCTCTTGAGGCTGGTTAAGATGGCTCAGAGGTAAAGACACTAGTCACCAAGCCTAAGGACTTGAGTTGCATCCCTAGAACCCCATATAACAAGAAGAACGGACTCCTGCAAGTTGTCCTCTGGCACCCACATGTGCACGGTGGCATGAATGCATGCACACACATACCCACTTGCAAACACACACACACACACACACACACATTAAATGTAACTTTTGTTCTAATTTTTCAAAAATACCTTAGCCAGGAGGTGATGGCACACAACTTTAATCCCAGCACTCAAGAGGCAGAGGCAGGCAGATCTCTGAGTTGGAGGCCAGTCTGGTCTACAAAGCTAGTGCTAGGACAGCCAAGGCTACACAGAGAAACCCTGCCCCCCAAAAACCAAGTGTGTGTGTGTGTGTGTGTGTGTGTGTGTGTGTGTGTGTGTGTTTGTGTGTGCCCGAGCGCATGCGCACGCACACGTATATGTGTATGTATATATGTGTATGTATATATGTGTATGTATATATCTTACATATAAGTGAGGTTTTTTTTTTAAGTTATTTACATGGCCAAGATGATTGGTCAGTGGATAAAGACCCTGCTATGCAACTCTAAAGACCTGAGTTTGAATCCCCAGAAAAACACACACCTGTAATCCCAACACTCCTACCAGGAGATGGGGGGGTGGAGACAGGAGCTCTTAACCCAGCTATCCTGAGGGCACAGGGGGAAAAGAAAAACAAAGAGACCCTGTCTCAAATTAGGTAGAAGCTGAGGACCTACACCTGATGTCATCCTGTGATCACACATGCACCTGGAGTAAGCACCTGCATTCACTCACGGGAATGTGCGCACATGACTGTGCACACCTACATGGACACATGCACAAAGAAATAAAAATAAAAAGGCCTGAGCCACTGAAACCACTTCCTTACAAAAACCTTTTCTGCCAGATGTGTAAGTGTAGACCTGCAATTCCAGACAGGGGTCAGAAGAAGGCGTCCAATCTGATGGAACTGGAATTACAGATGACTATGAAGCACCATGTTGGGAACAGAACCTGGGTCCTCTGCACCAGCAACAAGTGCTCTTAACCACTGAGCCTTCAAAAAAAAAGTGGGGGGTTGTTGGTTTGGTTTTGTTGTTTTTAGGTTTTTCTACCTCGTTCATTCCACTGACATCTTCAGTTATTCATCAGCTAGGGTTACTGCATGCCCATCAGTCATCCTCTCTCGGCCGCCCCCAAACTGTGCACTCCTGCTGCCTCAGCCTGCCAAGCACTAGGATTACAGGATTACACCTGACTGGATAGTTTTCTCAGAGACTTCTTTGTGCCCATCATCCACTGCTTTGGGTGTTCACAGCCAGATGTGGTGATGCACTCCTTTAGTCGGAGGCAGAGGCAGGGAGATCTCTGTGAGTTCGTGGCCAGCCACGTCTCCATAGTGAGTTCCAAGACAGCCATTGCTACCTACTGAGACCCTCTCTAGAAAAACACAAAACACAAAAACAAAACAAAGCAAACAACAACAAAAAATTCAACAACAAAAAGAAAGTGACTTTCAACTGGACAATGAGATTTTTCTTTATTTTGAACTCCCAGACACCAGGCCATTCTTATTGTCTGTTGTCTTTTGAGCTTTTT